GATGGCTGTCCTGAAGACTTGCGGTGGGAGGAGGGTTTTCCTTCCCACCGCCAACATTCAGAATGCTGTTCTGAATGTTGGCGGTGGGGAGGAAAAACCCTCCTCCCACCGCAAGCCCCGGGAACAGAGGAGAAGCGCTGCGCCCCTTCCCCTCTGTTCCCCTACCTGTCCTGAAGGCTTGCGGTGGGGAGAAAAGCCCTTCTCCGCACCGCCAGCCTGGCAAGCGGTCTCCATAGGAACGCATTAATTGATTTTCAATGCATTCCTATGGGAAACTGTGCTTCGCAAGACGGAAAACTCGCAAGAAGAAAAAACTTGCGGAACGAATTAATTTCGTCTTGCGAGGCAGCACTGTAGGAGGGTGTCCAGTAGGGGGAAGACTTGCTGTTGCCTTCTTAAGTTTCACATGGTTGAGATGGAAGATGATAATGTTCTGTAAGTAACGTGGTTTGAATTTGTCTTTTAGGGAAGCCTCAAGCTTGGAAGAAGTTGTTGAGAAACAAGGAGATGTGATAGAATACCTTAAACGACACAATGCTCTACTGAGCCAGAAGATGCTGGCTTTAACATCCCAGCAGGGCAGGGGCTAGCCCGTGGCCAGGAAACAGTGGCCAAATAGTGTTAAAAATGGCGGACTGACTTGAATATTGACTCGTCCTCTGACAGCAGCAAACACATCTTACGCAAGTTTGCAGTGACAGATTTCCAGTCCTGGTTCTGAGCAGCTGTTGGACCTCATCTGGCTTGGTGCTTAAAGCTGCTTGGTTTTTAAAGGACACTTTTATTTTTGAGATCCCCCCCCAACAAAAAAAATCCCTCCTGTACAGAGAGCTGGCATTAACCAGGGGGGAAAACACCTTAATCAGTTGTCTGTTTGGTTCTTTCAACTCTCTGATTTGAAAGTGATGCAGATTTCCAAAGATTTTAGCCGTCGTTTTGAATGCCATCTTTCTTCAAACCAGTATGAAGCAAACACCTGAGTATCAAGTATCAAAATGTTAATACACTGTGCATTTATTTGGTAATTGGTAAGGCCATCAATTAAGGATTGTTAGTTTCTATACTGCAGCTGCGATGGATGACCTCACAGTGGCAACATCCCATAGGAAAGGCTGCTGGGTGTCACAACTGACTCCGGGAGACTTTCACCAATGTAAGTGCACTCATGATGACAAGTAGCACTGTAAATTCAGGGACTGATCCAAAGCGGTATGGAGACGACACTTAGACAAGTGGGAAAGAGAAGTGAAGCATTCAGTAGCTAGTCCCAAGGCAGTTGTATAGATGACATTTCAAGCATCACTCCAGACAAGGATGGCAAGATGAGGCTGGCAGTCTGAGAAGCCAGTTCTTTTGGCTTGTTCACGTGTTGCATTATCACATGTTATAAATGTCAGTATCCTGTTGTCAGCAAATGGTTGCATACTGAAAATATGTTGTTCACTGCCTCCAACTTTTTCCTTTTCTTTTCTGCTTATGCCTCTCTGCTTGTTTTGCTAGCTGGAAATAAGTGAGAATAATTAAGGGGACAGTGCATGGGCATAATGTAAGAACCTGCATGTTAGCAAGCTACGTGTAAAAGTATTTCAGGGAGAATTGAGTACCTCTGGCCCTCCTGATGTTGATGGACTGTAGCTCCTTCAGCCCCAGCCATCATGATCAACAATCAGGGATGATGGAAGCTTCAGTCCAGCAACATCTAGGGGATCACATGTCCCCCTTCCCTGGCCACCAAGGTGTGTCCTGCTTAAAAAACAGTTCTTAAATTCTTCTCATGGAAAACTACTTGCATATCTAATCCTTCATATGGGATATATACACAAACAGGAAAACCCCCAAAAATTTGCATCACAGTGATTCACACATGCTTCATGGCGCTGAAGTTTAGAAACAGATAAAAGTAAACTAACAAAAGCATTTTTCTTACAGTGTTGACATACAGTTTGAATCTGCCATGATGGTTGCTGCAAATATTTCACTTTACAGGATAGTATCCAGTGTCTGCTGTCTTTGAAAATGTCGGCATTTCCCCCCCTGAAGCCAAGTGGCTCACAGAAGTGTTTATAGGTTCAACTCTGCTTTGAATGTATTTGATTGAACTCTGTAGATGCTAATCGTTGGGACGCATTCCCCCTTTAAGTTCCCCATCCAGCTACAAACAGCTGTCATTTGTCTGCTATGCCACTTTGCTGCCAACAAAGGCTGGGTGGTTTTTAGTTTTCTGTTGTTCTTTTTTGTATATCTTAGTCAATATTTCTGTAGAAAGACAAACACTTAAACAAACAGGAGGATTTTCCAAACATGTGCTGCGATCTAGTTTAGAGAGAACAAAAGCATACCATTCTGTCACACTTCATGCAAACAGACTGTTAATCCACCGCTCAGTGAGAGATGTATATAGTATTGTTTAAGGGACAGTATAGAAAAACTGCAACTGGCTGCTTCTGACACTTGACATGTTCTTTCCTTGTTAGCTGTGCCTTAAACACAGTTGGGATTTTATTAAGAAGTGGAGGAAGAAATATGTATACTTTTCCTTTTTTAAAAGGACACTCAGGTTTTGATCTGATTTGTATGTGACTCATTCTCTGTTTTGTACTAAATGTGAAATAATAAACGCAACAAACCCTACTCACTTTAGTCTGCTGCTAGCTAAAGGTAAAGATTATTGTGCTCTTGCATTGGGGTAGAGCACTTGAGACTGGAGGTCTTCGTAAATGCCTGCTGGTGTGTTGTTCTTGCCATTGAGTCTGGTAAATCACAGCTAAGTGCCTAGAACCATTAGAAAGTCACACTAAATTGAAGGCTTGACTCAATGTCAGAATATCAAACCTAGGGCAGCTGTGCAAAATCTGCATATCATGTAGAACCCAGTTGTTAAATCACATTTTCTGTTGACATCAGCCAGGTCTACTCTTTTAGCCTGTTAAATTGCATCGAACCCATTTACCTAGAAGCATCCTCTAAATGCTTTATTCTGAAATTATTGGCTAGAAAGATGACCCCTGGAATAGCGTTTGCATAATGGGGAAAACTTTGTATTCCAAAAGTTGGAAAGCAACAATTGAGTTCGACTTGCTTTCATATATTTACTGCGGTTTTTACAATGTTTTCTCTATAGCAGCTAGATATATTAATTGGAAGCAAGAATTCTCTCAAGGCAGCTATTGTGAGTTGTGCATAAATTAAATATTGGCAGAAGTGAATATTGACCCACCCCATTGCTGGTGGGGTTAAAGGACAATGCAAAACTGGATTCTTGCATTAAATGACTCGTTGGTACAACTTTGCTTATTGTTGTGTCCCATAGACGAATTAGTATCATGCAGAAATAAAATTTAGCAATTGGGATAGCTGCCTGCATGGGGAAGGATTTCATGATAAAAAAAAGTACGGTTTGCCTTAGTTTTTTTTCTAATCTTAAGAGAGAGAAAATGGAAACATCCGAAGGTGTCATGAGAAGTAGATATTTTTTAAAAATAAGTTTGCCCAACATAATTTGAGTTCTTTTATCAATGTTTATAACTTCTTTAAAAAAAGATAACTTTAAGAGCTGAAAGCTTGAGAAACAGTGGGGAAATGTCAAGAAAAGCATCATTTCTCCATGGCACCTATTTTCCTTCATTGTGTCTCCCCACTCCTGGTGAATTGTGCTGGTCTTGCTGGCTGGATTGATTTTTTCATATAAAAAAATCTGTGCCATATTGTTTCAAGGCCTTAAATGGGAGCGCAGCCTGTTCAAGAGATGTCCATGGAGCTAGGGTCAAAACTTTTCCAGTGAAGGGTAATTAAAGGGAAAAGCAATCTGACTGGGGAAGGCTATCAAATAGCCTAATCCTGAGATAACCCCAGAGACATGAAAGCAGTGTCACTGTGGGAACTGGTTCAGTACCTCTGGTGCATTACAATGTGTTTGGAGACGAAACTGCCTATGAATTGATTGCTCTTCCTGTGCGTAAATATTAGACCATGGAAAGCACTTGATCAGCATGCAAATGGAAGCCGATACCAGCTGACCTCTCATTTGCTTGAGGAAAATGGAGGTCTTTCCGAGGCCTGCAAGCCTCTTGCAATTGGAACCATATCCTGGTGGGAATAGTCCCTTTGATCCCAGCGTTTTGAATGCTTGTACATTACTCCCATTCAAATAGGCAAGCTTAGGCCTTTGCAGTCATAGCCAGTGGAGTGGAATGGTTATGAGTGTTGGACTAGGACCTGGGAAACCAGTTTTCAAATCCCCACTTGGCCATAAAGCTCATCTGGTGACTTTGGGCCAGCCGCTGCCCCTCAGACTTGTCTACCATGCAGGGTTGTTGGGGTTAATCGAGATGGGGAAGAACCACTTACACTACACTGAGGTCCTTGGAGAAAAAAGTGGAATATAAATGCAATAAGTAGATAAGCCCTTCATACAATTGCCATCACTTGTGCTTGGTGGCATTGCCACCCTCCAAGCTTCTAGATGAGAAGAATCTCTGTGGGATCAGAGTTCTAATTATGCCAGGAGCCTTCAGACTCTCCAGTGTGTGAAGGTGGAGCCAGCAGGGGATGTGTTGGAGGGTATGCAGCCAGCAAGTATGCAAAAGGAGAATGACTCTGACCTTATTTATATATATTTAAAGCTTATGATTGCCTAGTCCATGAAAAGTGAGACTGACGGCACAATCCTATCCTTATCTGTCCTGAAGGTCCATTAAGCAAAATGGGACTTAGTCCTCAGTGACTGTGCACAGGATTGCGGGTTAAAAACAAAGATTTCTTGCACAGGCATTAGCATAGGATCCACTGTGGAGCTTCCTTATTGCATTATATAAACACCTTCGCTTTTGGATCAAAGCAAGGCCAGCAGTGTCCTGTATTCTGTTCCCATAGGTGCCTGTAACAAGCCCCCAGGCAGAATCTCAACAGCTATATCTTATTTACAGTGAGTGAATGCATTGCAAGCTGCAAAATCTGATCAACGTTGTTGCTTCTTTAAAAAAAGAAAAGAAAAATTAATAGCATGATTTAAGCTATATTTTATTTAGCTACATCAATTATTAAAGTTTACATTGATCCCTTATGAAATTTACAAATTAGGCAAATATTTCACTTGTCTTTGGATATGGGCAATTTCCATGTACAGAATACAAAATTTTTAACAAAATTGTACAAAGATTAATATGAGAATGCTATTTGAAGTACCATTTTACAACATATACAGTTACAAACATGCTTTAAGGAAATAATTGAATCCCAAAGTAAGTTGTAAACAGGTTAAAATTAGTACAAATACAACCAGTAATACTTTTAAGGAAGACTAGGTTGATCTGTTTGATAAGACCCCGGTTCTACTAAGCTAGCATCCAGCATAGCTTTGGCATATTTTCCACTGGTGTGAGTGGAAGATTCAGTCATGCTTGTAAGACTTTCCAGTTAAGGCTGATCATTATTTAAGGAATTTTCCACTTGAAGTATTCACCTAGTAATGTCAACAGATATACTAGTCTTGAAAGACTGGGAAAGGTGATAGAATAACACTAGCTTCAAACATCCAATATGCATTTTTATAAATATTCCAACGAATCATGATGTTTATGAAACAACGGCTTCTTTCTTGCATATTGTTAGCTGGGTGTTAAAAGATATACAGACACGTGAATAAACACTATTAATATACCAATAGTTTGGGTTGTTTTTTTTCAATGACACACAACTCTTCTAATATTGTGAAGTTTGCTTTCTGGTTACCGGTGTTGATGTGTAGAGAAGAATGGTGATCATATTGCACTGATGATTCTCCAAAGTCCAGAAGAGGGTCCCTAAGTTCTTCATTGCTTTTATTCCTGCTTAGAGAAACCCAAAACTCCGGTGAAGCTTGTTTCAGCGGGCCTCTGGTAAGATTTTTTTGAATGTTTCCAGATGATGGTTTATGGGACACCTATATAGATTACAACAGTGCCGCTATCGAATTTTGTCATTTGCACATCTCCATTCCTTTCGCCAGTCAGTTGGTGGAAGCTACATTTGGGGGAAGAGTAAACCAGACAAGATTTTAAAATAATTTTATTAAGGTGGTCAACATTTTTTATATCCTCCTCCTAATAGTTTCTACTAGCCTTTATTGGCACAAGTTTTAAAAAATGTGATGCAAGGGTGATTTGGCTGCGACATGTCACTCCATTGATTGGCACGTTTGATTAGACTGATCTGGCTAGCTAGGTGGGTGTCCCCTTCCGCTCCCTGTGTGTCCCCCCCCCCCAAAGCCACACACTCGGTGGAAGAGAACGACCATCCTAGATACAGTTCTTCAGTCAAGGGTATACAATAGCTGCACTCCCTTGCTAGAACCTCCAAACAAGCTAAGCTAACAGCAAACTCAGGTGGTCAGGGGGTGATGATTACATTGCCAACCAGGGCCACAAAAAAAGAGGTAGCTATCAGCAGGCTCAGGAAAAAAGCATTGCCAAAGTACAATTCTTCTTATTAAAAAATTTGGCACTAACACCCCACCCCACCAAAACCCATCTCAATGAGGATCAGAGAGGCTTAGAAGGCATTTGAATGTTTAGAGCAGGGGTCAGCAACCTAAGGCCCATGGGCTGGAAGCGGCCCGTGAGCCGTCCCTGAACCGAACTGTCTGCTCATGTGCTGCGCTAAACTGGCGCAGAGACTCGCTTCCGCAGCGCCAAAAATTGCGCAGGCGCAGGTGCCAGAAATTGTGCGCGCAGGTGATCCGGCCCAGAGGGATCTCCACGGGACCAATCCGGCCCAGACAAGATAAACCTTGCTGACTGCTGGTTTAGAGTCAGATGTGAAGAAATTGACAGGAGATGGGGTAGGGGTTGAATGGAGTTGGGTACTCCTGGTTGGTTGACACCTTGACAACTCCTGTTCGAACCCCACTTGTACACATATAGTCCTCAACTTTTAAAAGAGGTAGGGGGTAGAACAGTTTTTTGAGAACAGTTGAACTTTTCTCAAAGCCAGCAGCAGCAGCTGACTTTCTGGTGCCAAGGAATTTGTACCCCAGTCATAATAAACTTTACATCTGTTCTGTGATTCCAAAGAGTTATAAGGTATGAACATTAAAATATTATTATCCAAGGAAATGACATTTTCTGTTCTTAAGCTGCTCTATTCTGTATAGCCCTGCATTGTGTATCATTTGCTGCTTTGAAGAGATCTATGCAACTACAGAGAATTGTAGCCATCATGAGAGTTGTTTTCAGTGGAAATTTTGAGGTTTGAGTGCAATAGTTGTAGGTTTGCTTGCACAAGTCGATTTGGTTCAGGTAAACAGGATGCATTTGCCCCATCCCCTGACCGGTTTAAAAACCAGTTAAATAGGTACATTATTCAAACAGTGGTTGCTACCCATAGATGCTTAGAGGAGCCTAAAAGTCTGACTGTGCTCACTTGAGACCCTTGGAAGGGTAATACTTGAGCAAACATACAAAGTGCTGCATTTCCAAAAGACTTTGCTTGTGAAACAGGTGGAAATTCTTGTCTGTAACTGACAATGTTGTATCCCTGGGAAATACCACTTTTTCTAATATGGTCAGCTAAATAGTCCCCCATATAGTCCACGTTACAAATAAGAGGCTATGCTAAAAGGCCCGGCCCCCACTTTAAAAACCAACTCCAAGCAAATAGAAACCAGTTTGAAATTTTCAGTGTACATGTCCTACACCTTTAATAGTTGTGTAGAAGAGAGAATTTCAGAGAATTTCCTGAAATTCCCTACTGAAGGTGCAGAAGGCCTGTCCTCCCATTTCATCTGGCTACCCAAATAAATCATTTTCTGCCTCTTTGCTCTTTCTCAAGGCAGGTCCAAATGGCAGGCCTAGTGTGATGATTCCTCCTTAACATATGTGAGAGTGGATCCCAAACTGCAATCTTAAGGGTTTACGGGAGATAGAAAACATGGGTGAATCTTCTATTTCTGGAAATTTAAGTAGTTCCTTCCAGTGTCCTTGTACCATAACACCACTCTAGATCATAGCCATTTTAGGTCCATTAGACCCAAATGAGAGCCCTTGTATAAAAATATGAAAAGGTACAATCTCTATGGAATCTGGAGTTTTCATGATACTCCTGCCCCCGGAACTGGGGCACACATCCAGCTTTAAAGAGGACGGCCCTCTATGTGATGGGCTGCCTGGTCTAAGTCTAGCTTAAAGGTTAGGACTTAAGGACCTTAAGAAGGGAGAGCAGGAGGGGCCTGGAAATGACCCATCAATAGCACCAGAAAACAGAGCAGGCACATAGGCCACTACAGTGAACTGCATACAATTTAAATGACACTAATTGCTTCTGAATTTGTATGCAAATAAATTAAGATGCACACATTTTATGAAAACCTGTCGTTTCTTTCATCCTCACTTTCTCTCCTTTTGTGACACTTTCCTATTTTGGGGCAATCCTTAAGCAGTCTTCCTACTTGGTAAACTCCTTGCTAGCAGGGATTTGACTTGTCTATATAACTCTGTGAGATGCCATGCTTGTTGCTGACACAGTGTAAGTATTATTAATAGCATTTCTGTTCTCTGTTAAATTCAACGGAGCTTCCTTCCATCTGAGTGCCATGGCACGGCTATGACCTTTTATGCCTCTGTGTGTCTGTGGGAATTCATCCTCAATCTCAGAGAGCAGGCCAGGATTTCAAAACACATTATGAATCTGCTGCTGCAGTAAAAGGTCTGAACAAAGTAACACAACACGATGACCAATAACAATGGCACTAAACACTATTTATAGACTAATACAAATGATCAGAAATTGCAACTAAAGTCTCTAAATCTAAATAATTCAAAAGGTCGATATATACATAATCTGCAGTAAAAAGTGTAGCAGGAGGAACATTCTTTTTATAATCTTAATCCCAAAATTAGGCCAGTGCAATGACTGAATGCATTTGAGAGCTGATTATTTTCCTCCCCATTAACAGGTAAAACATTTGTGCCCATGACACATTTCTTAAAATTGGGCTAGTTTTTTTGTTTTAAAAAGGAATATTCAAAATGTCAGTAAATCTTACATTGACACACAACTCTTTTCGCCAAGACTGGCATTTTTGTAAGAATGGACATTTCACTTATTGCCATTCAGTTAGCTGAAAGTATGGCCTCTGAGCCTCATGGGCTGTCATTGGAACTGATATGTGTGATGAATACATGCAAACAACCCTTAGCCAGTAGGAAGTATAAAGCGGAAGGCTTTTCTGGAAGGCCTAGCTGCATTTCATCTGAAGGTGCTACTGCCTGGGAAACAACAAAGATAAGCTCAACCGTGAATACGGCTGACATGGAGAACTAGCATGGGCAGTGCTTAGGGGTGATGGGAGTAGTAGTCAAACAATATCTGGAGCAGGAAGAGCTAACACGGAGCCCTTCAGAGCCTCCATATCATTGGGCCATGCTGACTGGGGTAATGGGAGTTGGAGTCCCCTGATAGCTAACCCTGATCTGGAGGGTCAACAGCATCCCTGCTCTAGTGGATTAATCAGTACTTGTTGACCAGTTCAGAACCACAGGCAAAGCTTAGACTCAACCAGTGTTAATTTTGTAAGAATCTTAGCACTCCTGGGAGTGTTCAGCTTGAAAATGTATGGATTCCATTCAGACAAATGTACAACAAAGAGCATGACCCACATAGTTGTAGGGGATGCGCCATGCAACTTTTGCAGACAGGTTTGAAATCTTGAACTCTGTCCCCACCCCTTCCCTGGCACTCCAAAACGCACATTTCAGTTGTTCAGAATATCTCTAGACCAGGTCATGGTTAAAGAGCATCTGTTTCTGCTCTGTTGTTAGGGCAGAGCAGTTTCCCCAAGCGGAACTAGCTACAAAATAGCTTTTAGTCTTGCAAACAGATATTCTGTAAGGAGGGATGGGAAATCCACCTAAGTGCATGTTTATCACCCAGACTCCATACTATTAACTTGCATGCATTATGCTTCAAGGCGCATTAGAGATTGTCTCTGCACACAGTCATGAAACACTGGAAGTGGGGGAAGGAGACGATTGATTCCATACTCGGAAACACTTCTGAAGCTAGTGACTCGAGGAGTCTGCCTCCTCCTAATTCTGATTTCCACAGTGCCCCTAAACTCCAAAGTGCTGAGTGAGTGGATGTGGTCACTTTGGCTATCGCTTAATCTGCCACCTGCTGTAATTGACACACAGGTGGGTCTTTCCCCCTTTTTATCATTCTAAAAAGGCACATTTCTTTAAAAAAAACACCAGTTATGTAGCTGGCCGAGATCTTGGAAAAACTTAACATGATGGAGACAAAGCTTTTAAATACATTTGGTACTTGCAGTACCACATATAAGCCAAGGTGTTACTTTCAAGGAAGAAACCTTATTTTTTGTTGTTGTTGACTGAGGCTTCTTGAGACTTGCAAAGATCAACTGTTTTCTGGTGGGTGTCTTGGTTGTATCTCAGTGCAGGCTGTTTGGGGCTGAATGAGTGCCATTGCTTTAGAATCACTTATCAAATTCCTTCACCGGCTTCCTTTGTGACTAAGCCTAAGTGTGTATAACTGAAATAACCCACATTCTTTCCCTGTTTACTCCTGCCTCTCCTCCTCTCACCCTTCCTTTCCTGGCTCTCTGATGGCAAATGGTAGATTCAAGGCAAACAAAAGCAAGTGCTTCTCTGCACACAGTTAAACCTTGGGATTCGCTACCAAGAGATGCAGTGATGGTCGCTAACCTGGATGGCTTTGAAAGGAAGTTAGACAAATTCATGAAGGGTAAGGCTATCAATAGCTACTAGTCGTGGTGGCTATATATTACCTCCAGCATCTGAATACCAGTTGCTGGGGAACATGAGCTGGGACTGTGCTATTGTGCTCATGATCTGCTTCTGAGCTTCCCATCAGCATCTGGTGGGTCACTGTGGGAACAGCACACCAGACAAGATAGGCCTTTGGTCCAATTCATCAGCGCTTTTGCACCACAGACTTCTTGTTAGCTCTTGAGACAGTGACTTGCACTCTTCTATGCTGTAAAATGGCATGTGCATTATGTATTCACAAAACTTACGGCACTGTCAGAAACACAATTCTGACTTCGGCTGAACTGCTTAGCAAAATGTAAAGTGTCCTTGAAGGGCCAGTTGCTGTCCCTTAACGACACTCACTCCTGATTAGTCTTGCTAGTTCCAAGAAGCTGACATTTTGAGAGAATTGATTTTTGGGGCTTATAGCCTGTGTCATTTTTTATTTATCACAGCCAAACTACCTAAGGCTATGCCATTATCCTGATGTATATAACAAGAGGCGCTGCCAGATGCAAAGCTATCAAGTGCATGTTTTATTCATCTGCAAATAGTGTGCTTCTCTAAAAGGCAGTTTGGGCATCCTTTTGATCCTTGCTGTGACATATTTACATGTCCTACCTGTGTGCTTCTGGAGCAGCGGAAGCATCTGCATTTATATGGTGCCCTCTAGACTAGAGAGCATTGATCCTTTGCACCTCCTATTCTCTAACCTGCTGAAGCCCCGCTTGGGTTCAAAAGTGCTACTTCAGCTTTATACCGCGGAATGCAATCTTAAAATCAAAGAGCTCTCAGGTTCACAATGCAACAGCCTGCTCCCGACTCTTTTGAATAGGATGGCACATGAGCCCCTGCTATGACAGGCTTGTTAGTCGATGCCCCCTCGTGCTTTGTCTTTCTGCTGTGCTAGAATAACACAGCTGCTCCTTGGGACCTCACATCAAAGGACCTTTGAGTTCTTCCCGCTTAACAAGATCAATCTAGGTGATACCTTTTTAATTAAATAGGGAGCAGTTCCAAATGGTGGACTGTCCCCAACACTAGTCCTCCTCATTCAATTAATGAACTGAAATTTGCCATCATGCTGGATAAAACCCTTAAAAAACCCCTACCTCTTAGCCACTACACATATTTCCCTGGGATAGCTACACAGGCCTGTGGTTATAGCTCTACCGGTGGTGAAATCCACAAGGAATTGAAAGCAGCATGCACACCGTAATTTAAAGCACATTATTCCCCTCCCCAGGAATCCTGGGAACTGCAGTTTCGCCCTCACTGAGCTAAAATTCCCAGCACCCTTAAGAAACCAGCTCCTGAAATCCTTTAGGGGAAGTCATGTGCTTTAAATGTTCAGTGTGTACATTCAGAAGTGTGGAACCTGTGGCCCTGAAGATGTTTCTGGGTTATAATTGCCATCATCCTTGACCATTAGCCATACTGGCTGGGGCTGATAGGAGCTGGTTTTCAACAACAACTGGAGGCCCACAGATTCCCCATGCCTGGTTTATAGAGTGTCCATTCAGCAAAGTTGGCTGTTACAGAGCTAAATGGTAATGGCTGCCTTTGGGGTTTTTTAAAAAATATATATCCTGTTTCTTTAAGAACAATCTGGCATGAAGAAATCCACAAAGTTAATGTGCTGTACATCTCCGTGTAAATTTCTTAGTGATAATTTTAATGATTTATGTAGACCGCTTTGAGGCTTTTTCTACAATCAAACAGTATAGAAGCTTTACAAAGTCAACAAATAAAATAAATGCCAGGAAAGCATTCTCTGCCACATGGCTGTGTATCATGCTGCTGTGAAAATAATAGAAGGGCATGACAAAATCTATTGAGAGTCTTCCCACATGAAGATCAGATCCTTGACACAATTTCACATGAATCCTGCCATAGGTTGACTCAGGGAGGGTGGAAGGAATCTTCTCGTAATAACACTAAATACCACCAGACACCTCTGGGTGGTATTCGACTAGGTCATACTCAGAATAGCCCCACTGCAATCAATACGTTTAAGTTAATTATAACTCACTTTAAATCCACTGATTTCAGTGGGTCTACTGCACTATGACTGATGCTACCCTCTGGATTCCACATACTCCAGGTAGATCCAATTTTTATAGATTGTGTCCACCTTATTCTTAAGCGAGATAGACTTGTTGGATGGTTCTGCCCAAGGGATTCCATCTTTCAGGTTTTATAATAATGAATTATTATCACTTTCATGTGCAAGATTGGGGGGAGGGGGTGGAAAACTGCAAAAAGACAGCAGGGCATCAAATGGGTCCCATTCTCTGTGCAGCTTCAGAGAGTGAAATAATTGACAGAGAGCCCAGTACTACTCACTCATTTGGAACCGTGCCCTGGAGTTCACATAAAACAAGAACTTTTATTGTGCTGTTCCTCCCCCCCCCTCCTTGAGTTCATTCCCACCCCCACTGCTCCCTCCCTGTTGCTCTATTTTCAGAGCAAATAAAATCACAAAGAACGGAGGCCAAAGGAAATTGTTTGCGGTCTGAGGTTAGCAAAATGCCCCCGAAACCATTTGGAAATGAATGCATAAGTTTGCAAACGGGCATATTTTCTGGTGAACACATTTGGCATTCCCCTACGCTGTCCCCAAAACAATGCTGGAGGGGCAGCCTTCGACAGTCGCATCCTACTGGCGCCTGGTTTTATTACCAAACCCTTATGAATGACCCTTTGCCTAAAATTAGCCCAAGCATCGTAGGGTTTTTGGATACCTCAGGGGAAGGGCACTCTGGAATGAAGGGGCATGCATCTCCTGTGGGAGCAGTGATGTCTGTGGAGTTTTCGCCTGGAGGCCACATTAGCTGGAAGACAGGAGAGAGAGAACATGAAAAGAGCAAGATGTCAAAATGAAAGGCAGGTAAACAATAACGGTTGCTGTTCTGAAGCGGCATAAAGCGTGTCTGCTTTCTGCAAGATGTTATTTCCTGCACTTGTGGGATCCCAAAGTATAAAATTCCAATGTAGCAAGTCTGTCTTCTTCCAGAAGCACTCAGCTTCCCATCCCATCCCAGAATTTGCCCAATTTTTCAGAAGTCTCAGACCATTGTAAACTGCAGGACCTTCAGCTGTCTGTGGTTCAGCCAGTACCTCGGGTTACATACACTTCAGGTTACAGACGCTTCAGGTTACAGACTCCGCTAACCCAGAAATAGTACCTCGGGTTAAGAACTTTGCTTCAGGATGAGAACAGAAATCGTGCTCCAGCGGCGTGGCAGCAGCGGGAGGCCCCATTAGCTAAAGTGGTGCTTCAGGTTAAGAAAGGACCTCCAGAACGAATTAAGTTCTTAACCTAGGGTACCACTGTACTCTTATGGCACATGTCCTATATACATTTCTATTCAGAAGTAAGTCACATCTGAGTTCATAGAATCATACAATTGTAGGGTTGGAAGGGACCCAAGGGTTATCCAGTTCACCCCCCTGGAATGCATGAATCCCAGCTAAAGCATCACATCTAAACCTATGTGGATTCTGCACATTTGTTCATGTATTGAATATCATGAAATCTACACCTGGGCACAAAATATGAAATTGTGAGTAGTTCAGCATGGCTTAAGTTAAACTGTCATCCTAAGCAAAACGTTCTAGGGAGTAAGGCCTAATGATCACAGTGGGGCTGGCTTCTGAGTCAGCATGGATTGTCCTGAATGTTCCCTGGAATTTAATGGAATTTTAAGAAGTGTTTATACTTGGCTGAGTCGTGTTCTTTGATTTATCGCATGGAACAAAAGTGTGTGCAAGAACTCTTAATATCCATTCAGGGTTTAATTGTTTTTTTTCCCGCTTTCAAATTTGTAAGCCACTTGGAGAGCCATTTTATATGGAAAATGGGGATTTGGTAAATAGAATAAATAATGGCAGAGGAGACCTGATAAATATCTTTTTTCAAACAAGATACAAAACACTTTTGCACCCAGAACGAAACTGGGGCTAATAGTACGTATGGAGTTCTCTGAAAAAGGCATGCCACTTTCATTGACAATGTAAATATTTTTTTATTTCATACAATTTACAAATGGATTGATTGGAAAAAAAGAAACCCTCAAAGCAGTTTATAAAAGAGACCATGTTTAGGGTCCCTCCAGACATCTCATTTATTGCACATTCATGGCCATTTGTGTTCACAATGCTCCTGAGGCAGTTATATGTGATTCCACCTTCATACCGCTTCATTTCTAATCAGAACCTATCCCATAACTTCCGACTGAACTCCTACAACTTGTTATAGCATCCTGGTTTATTTTTATTCCACTTTTGTTGACAGCAGTAATGTGGCAGCACTGTGGAAGCACTGCAGAACAAACTAAAGCAGAATAAACCCAACACTCATTATTGAGTCGAGAACATGTTGCAGAAAATGACTGCAATAAAACACCAGTGGTGGGGGAGATATTCAGAGTAGCGCCATCCTAATCAGCCAAAGAGCTGATGTAGTACATTGTGGTTATATCCTGAGCTGTGCACTTGTTCTAGTCTCACCTTAGACATACATTCATTGCGGAGACAGACAAAAAGTTAAGTCAATGGCCATCAGAGAGGAAAGGCAAGAAGAGGTGGTGGCTGAATCAACCCTCTCCCCCTGTGGCTGTAATAGTGGCCTACCTTACAGGGCTGGCATGCAAAGCATGTTAGAACACTTAGGGGGAAAGTGCTGTATAAGTACTAAGCAACACTACTGATGTGCCTTTGAGCCTTTCAGTGCTGGAAAGGTGGGGGAATAAAGTTCCCAGACCAGTGTAGTGACTAAAAGCCTAGTTTTGGATGTGGGAAATGCTTAAAGCTCAGTTCTGATGCTCAGTGGGTGGCCTCAGCAAGCCACTATCTTCCAAGAGAGTTGGGAAGCTAAAATGTTCTTCTGTGTTCCTTAGTCAAAATAACAAATGCAATAGTCTTCTCAAAGCCTCTGGAATGGTAAGGTGGATAGAAAACTGCTCTGACTGTGAGCACATCTTCCTTATTCTTACTGTAGGCCTCCACCTGTTTATGCAAACCCAGGTATGTGCAAAATGATCTAGAAAAGCATACTAAGTACGTAGATCCCTTTTTGCCTGCTGCTCAGTTAAAAGAAGTGCTTTGCAGGATGGAAAACTCAGGTGACTTCAGGGCAACTCACTCCCTTAGGGAATATTTTCTGAATTCACCATAGAGGAAGTCTGCCTCTTCATCTGTGCACCAAAAGGTGGCTCACAACTCAGGCTACTTGTTGTATGCCCTCAGTTCCATTTTGGCTTTCTCCACCAGAGAGGACTGGGAATGTACATTCCCGCCAGCTAGTACTCAAGCAATGCTCCTTTTGCCTAAGGCTTCCGTCTACTCCAAGCTAATTGCTCCAGAGAGTTGTATCAGTCAAGCAAAGGAGACTACCGCAGAGTGTATGGTCTGGGAGCTGTCAGCTTTACTTAGAAAAGTGAATCTGCCCTCTGAAAAGTGGGGAGTGGCGGGGAGGGCAATTATGCAAATATCTTACTCCTCTGGAGAATCAGTATATGAGATGATGTGATTTCACCCATCTCTCTGTCAATGCTCTGTTAAAAATTGTTGAAAGCTGTAGGAATCTGGGAGGGTGTCAGGAGGTTATAAAAAAAGAAGCAAAGTCGGACCTCCCCTTGCCTGATGAACGTAGTCAAATAACTAATAAATCATCATAGGAATCAATAAAGCAGCAGTCCGGGCAGATATTAGCCAGATATTATAGGGAATGGAAAACAGTGAAATAATTGCACACACGTAGGAGAGGAGTCACGAATATTTGCACAGGGACATAAGCTGCATAACACAAGCTGCCCTCTTCAGATGTTTACTCATAGGGTTACAGCACATAGAGATGAATTAACCCATCTACATTTACACTTTGCACTTCTTTCACGACTTTATTGTGGTAAAATCTTCCTACCAGGCTAGTTAAATGTAGCATTTAAATGTAACATCTTGCACAAGCCCTGGAGGAGCTGATGTGATCATGAATTCTTTATTTGCCATCTTCTCGCGCGCACGAAAAGAAATGGCTTTGCACTGAAATCTCAAAGTGGCATGTCGTAGGCGCAGCATCTCTTAAGGAAGCCATTCTCTCTTTTTGAAAAAGAGTTACGGCTGCAAAAATAATACTATGGGAGGCGAACAGCTTTTTTTTAAAAAAAAAAAAGGAAAAGAAAGCCTGGCTTCTAACGTAGCTGCCCCAGAAATCCCCATACACACGCTGGAGATAAGAGACAGCTGAGACGGGGAAACGGAGTCCGATCACAGGGTTCCTTACCTGGCCTCTGTCCGTCGATCAGGAGCACCCCAGCCAGGAGCAAAAACCAGGTCAAAAGGAGCTGCTGGAATCTCATTTTGGCAGACCGGATCCGATAGTATTTGTAACACTTGCAGCCAATTTGCAGACACCCTCCCGGAAATGTGTCTGCAGTATCTGTGGCTCAGCTCACATTCTAATGGCAAGCTTTCGAAATGAGCTCCCAGCTGCCTTTTTCAGCAAGGTTAATGATCATACACAAGGCAAGGTTACTGGTTCTGCACTGTGGTCAGTGCCTCCCTCTGTTTCCCTCTTTTTTCCCTTTTTGTCACTCCCACTTATTTTCCATAAGCAAACAACAGGAAGAAAAGCCCCTGTAAACTGCAGCTTCTGTAAACGTCCGTGAAAGAAGCAGCCCTACGAACAATGGTCCAACAACTTCCCTTTCGATTCATTCCAAGGCAAGGCTAAATATGCAAAGCGAGCTCTAGCCTCCCTCCTCCCATTTGCAACTGTTTATGCTTTGCTGCGTTTGCCCATGTTGGTCCCACATGCGAAAAGCCAGGGACGGGACAGGAAGTCTTTCCTTTGTCCACCTCTGAAAAGGCATCCTCAAGAGGACCAAAAAGCATTGTGGGCCCCTCTTGTGGAGCCCCCCACCGCCCCCACCGCAAATCTTTATCCCTTATCAACTAGCTGCAAAGTAGCATCTATTCAAAGTGAAAATGTAAGCTGTTAAATGTAATGTGCCTCTTCTGTAGGGTCAAGTATTTTCCTTCCATTCAGGAACTGGGATTTCTGGGCTTGCCCTTAAGTCCATTAAGACTGTTTAAATGGGTACTGACTGCAGGATTGTCTGAAAAGTTGTTGTTGTTGTTGTTTAGTCGTTTAGTCGTGTCCGACTCTTCGTGACCCCATGGACCAGAGCACGCCAGGCACTCCTGTCTTTCACTGCCTCCCGAATTTGAAAGGCTGGGCTGGATGAATCCCAAGCAATTAAGATTGCCAGAAGAAATATCAACAACCTCAGATATGTCTGAAAAGTAAAGGTAAAGGGACCCCTGACCATTAGGTCCAGATGTGACTGACTCTGGGGTTGCGGCGCTCATCCCACTTTATTGGCCAAGGGAGCCGGAGTACAGCTTCCCGGTCATGTGGCCAGCATGACTAAGCCACTTCTGGCGAACCAGAGCAGCGCACAGAAACGCCGTTTACCTTCCCACCGGAGCGGTACCTATTTATCTACTTGCACTTTGATGTACTTTCGAACTGCTAGGTGGGCAGGAGCAGGGACCGAACAACAGGAGCTTACCCCATTGCGGGGATTTGAACCACCGACCTTCTGATCAGTAAGTTCTAGGCTCTGTGGTTTAACCCACAGCGCCACCCACATCTGAAAAGTACATCCCACTAAAAGCAAGCAGACGCTCCTATCCCCACTCCTTACCAAGTCATAGTCTGCATTTCGGCACAGATCCCAGACTGAGTACCATCACCAAAACGTGCCACCTGTATTATGCCACCACTTTTAATGCTTGTAGTGTAGATGTCTGTTTTTTAATGTATGCAGCGTTTTAACTCTCTAACTTCTTTGCAAGGCACTTGGATAAAGTCACTTGGCTCCATAACCAGCTGGATGCCACATTTTTGGCAGTTCCCAGAGAGGTGTCCAACACAACATCTTCTGTGATGTCATGGGATCAGTTTCAATTGATGCCTCTTGATGATGTTGACAACATGCTTGCAACGCTGTAACAACAACAACAACAACAACAACAACAATTTATTTGTACCCTGCCCATCTGGCTGGGTTTCCCCAGCCACTCTGGGTGGCTTCCAACAAAGATTAAAAATACATCAAAATGTCACATATTCAAAACTTCCCTAAACAGGGCTGCCTTCAGATGTCTTCTAAATGTCAGGTAGTTCTTCTTCTCTTTGACATCTGGTGGGAGGGCGTTCCACAGGGTGGGTGCCACTACCAAGAAGGCCCTCTGCCTGGTTCCCTGTAGCTTTGCTTCTCATAGTGAGGGAACCGCCAGAAGGCCCTTGGCGCTGGACCTCAGCGTCCAGGCAGAACGATGAGGGTGGAGACACTCCTTCAGGTATACTGTACCCAACCATGTTTTCCTTGAGCCCATCTTGGCTTATTAAAGCTAAGGGGGCATCAGTGGGTGGGACCAGAGTTGGGAGCAGGCTCATGTCCACCAGTAAAGACTCAAATGACCTCAGGGGCTACAATTGCCTTTTACCAGCTTCAGTTGGTTAAGACACCTACAGCTATTTTTGGACCAGGTTAGCCTGAGAACTGTCATACATGCATGAGTAACCTTCATACTGGATAACTATTAACATGTTCCATGTGGGCTGCTGCCCCAATGTTAGCCTGGAAGCTGCAGCTTGTGCAAAATGCTCCTGTTCAGCTACTGGGGCTGACCATCACCACCGTCATGTCAGGCTGCTGTTGGGAGAATTGCACTTGCTAAATTCAAGGTGCTGGTACTCGTGTACCCTATGCAGTTTGGAACCAGGCTACCTTAAAAATCATTGTGATTTTTTATTGCGATAGCACTGGGGCAGCATCACAGAACAACTGACAAAGCAGAATAAATTCATCACTATCATTGTATCAAGATTTGTAGAATACACCCACAATTTAAAACAACAACAACAACAGTGGAGAGTTTCTAGGTGAGAAAGTACGTGCTTGAGATCTACTGCAATCCTGAGCCAATGGTCTCAGGATCTCTTTGCAGTTGCTATAAAACTGGCTGACTGTTGCTAGAAATTTGTAAACCAAAAACGCAAGGAGAGCCAAGTGGAGAAACAATGGCTGATTGCCAGATTAAATTTCAGGTTTCTCTTTGAAAGACGTGTTGCAATCTATTTAGAACTGTTTTGCTGAAGCAGCCAGTCTTTCAGCATAACCTAATATAACCTGCAGATGTTCCCTTTCAGAGGTGCTGTGCCTCTAACAGCTTTATGGCAGCCAGATAATAATAATAATAAAAAAAACTGGAGTATTGCCAACCTGGGACAAGGTGCACTTGTTGAGTTTGCTTCATGTCACATTATTGGCCATTAGAGAGGAAAGGCAAGAAAAGGTGGTGGCTGCATTTTAGAGTGAGAGCAATCTCGTGCACAGGTGCATCACATCATTAGTTGTGGAAACTGGCTTCCATCTCAGTCATACAATTACCTTTGTCTGGCTTCCCTCTTAGGAAAAGGACCATTATAGCTTTGCAATTTCATTTGCATACCTTCGGGTTGATCAGGGGAGGATGGAATATGGACTGCCTGCGTTCCTTAGCCATCTTTCTGAGACTCCACAGCCACTGTATTAATTTAGCTGAGAGGCAGCTGACCATGATAGGAAGAACAGCCTGCTTTGCATATAATAATCATTCAGCGTTACATGCATGAATGTGGGGCTCATGTGCTCGCCCCTGCCTTCTCTTCTTCTGGTAAAAAAGGTAAAGGTAAAGGAACCCTGGACAACTAAGTCCAGTCAAAGGAGACTCTGGGGTTGCGGTGCTCATCTCGCTTTCAGGTTAAGGAAGCCGATGTTTGTCCACAGACAGCTTTCTGGGTCATGTAGCCAGCATGACTAAAACTGCTTCTGGCACAACAGAACACAGCGACAGAAACCAGAGTGCATGGAAACGCCACTTACCTTCCCACCGCAGCAATACCTATTTATCTACTTGCACTGGTGTGCTTTTGAACTGCTAGGTTGGTAGGAGCTGGGACAGAGCAATGGGAGCTCACCCTGTCATGGGGATTCGAACCACCGACCTTCTGATTGGCAAGCCCAAGAAGCTCAGTGGTTTAGACCACAGTGTCACCTGCGTCCCTTCTTCTTCTGGTACAGCTGTCAGATCAGAATCTTCCACTTCTGTTTTTAACTAACTGTGGTTACTTGCTATCTATGTTTGAACCAGGAACTGTGTTTAACCTTAATTGTTGCTCAGTTTAGAAGTATAGTGTTATGTAGTGTAGTTTCACCCTGGGCCAACAGGGGGATACTGTATATAGTTTTCACTCAGGTCTGTAGATAGTTTTCACTCAGGTCCGCGGCAGTTATTTTAGGCGGGAACTCTGGGCTGTTGTGGTTACAATGTTGACAGCCGGCTGCCTATAAATACAGGCCGGCTGAGCTGTTCGCAGTCAGTTCTATTCCAGCTTACCAGAATAAAGAGCTACTTGAAGAAATCGCTGTGCCGGCTGCTATGTCAACCCACGACTTAACACTGGCGACGAAGGTGGGATAGATGGACATCAGAGCACAGCCAGATGCGGCCAGCCTCTGAACTGAGCTGAATCACTGAGCTGAATCACAGAGCGAAATCACTGAGCGAAATCACTGGGCAGAACCAATTCAGAGCTGACTGTTCTGGCTAGAGCACTGTGTTCCATCCATCGCCCTTCACGCCGGCATCGGAATCATGGCTTCACTTGTGCCTCTACCGCCGTTTGCGCCAGCCTCTGAATCATGGGACTCCTACCTCGCTCGGTTCGACTGCTACCTCCAAGCCAACGAGCTGACAGCAGTATCAAAGGATCGGAAGCGGGGCCTATTCCTCAGCCTCTGTGGGCCTGAGGTGTTTGAGACGGCCCGAGCGTTGGTTGCGCCTGAAGCAGTCCAGGCAACACCATGGGACACGATCCAAGAGAAGCTCCGCAACCACTACGCACCAAAGCCGTCCAAGATTGCTGCCCGCCATGCGTTCTACCACCGGAACCAGGCAGAGGGGGAGTCAATCAACAACTACACCACCGCCCTGCGACAGGCTGCAATGCACTGTGAGTTCCGAGACTTAGACGATGCCCTGATGGATCGAATCGTCTGCGGGGTCCGGGACATCCATCTGCAACGGCGCCTCCTAGCCAAGCCAGACCTCACGCTACAGAAAGCCATTGAGGAGGCTGTGGCCTCAGAAGCTGCTGAACGCTCCGCCCAGGAGATCCGCAAGTCCAGCAGCCCGCGTCTTGCTAGGGAGCCAGTTCCGGTGCATCATGAAGAGGCCAGCAGTGAGGAGGCATCCTCCAGTGAAGACGATGACGTGCACCAGACAAAGCGGGAGCGCAGGAAGTTCCAACAGAAGTCCAAGGGCCAACCGGAATGTGCTGGCTGCGGAGGCAACCATTCCCGTGCCAAGTGTCGATTCAGAGACGCCATCTGTAGGAAGTGTTCCAGAAGGGGCCACATCGCTAAGGTCTGCCGATCGGCTCCGTCTGACACCCCCCCTTCATCGACTCGCAAGTCCAAGTCTTCACTCCAGTCTGCCAAGGAAAGTTGTTTCGCTCTCACCAACTGCCGCTGCCCGTCTGGAACCACGATTGGCCAAACCGACTCGCCTACGCGACGCAAGCTGAACGTCACGGTGCTCATTGAAGGAGCTCCATGTGACATGGAGATCGACACCGGGTCTGCCCTGTCCATCGTGTCATGGAGCACCATCAAAAGACTGGTACCCAGAGTGTCCAAAAGGCAACTCGACTCTCACCGCGTACACC